GGTATCTATGTACAATGGAATATTACACAGCCATCAAAAATGAAATCTTGCCATTTGCAACAACGTGGATGGAACTAGAGGATATTATGCTCAGCAAAATAAGTCAATCAGAGAAAACCAATTATCATATGATTTCACTCATATGTGGAATCTAAGAAACAAAACAGGATCATAGGGGAAGGGAGGGAAAAATAAAACAAGATGAAATCAGAAAGGAAGATAAACCATAAGAGACTCTTAATCATAGGAAACAAACTGAGGGTTGCTGGAGGGGAGATGGGTGGGGAAATGGGGTAACTGGGTGATGGGCATTAAGGAGCACTGGGTGTTAAATAAGACTGATGAATCACTGACCTCTACCTCTGAAACTAATAATATACTATATGTTAATTAATTGAATTTAAAATAAAAAATTTTTTAAATGGTTAATTTTATGTTATGTGAATTTTACCTCAATAAATGTCTTAAAATCCAGAAATTACCCTGACAAGTGTTAAGACAGGTTGCTATGGTCATTTTTTCTAGAGGCCCTGCCCAGTCTCCAGCCCCCTGCTGACCAGTGTAGGCCTTAACCTTAGCCTAGAAGCAGAGGATACTTATCTGGGGCTGTGATCTGATTACTTCTTTATTAGCAGCAGTAAAAATCAGCTTGACTTAGACACTGTACTTTGCAACCAAGAAATGATAAACATACTCAGCAATGATAATGATGGTAAACTGGCCATTCTCACAGCCCAAAATGCCCTTTCTCCTCTTCTTCTGGCCAAACACCCCTCTGTCCATGGTACAACTCATGTCACCCTCCTATGGGAAATACCCTCCCCCCACCCAATGTAGGGTGGCTCCACATCCCACATTTCTCTGCCTTCCCTAAGCTCCTGATACCTTTGGAGGTGTCTGCGTGCAGCAGAGCACCCCACCAGGTCCTCTGTGTAAGTGCCCTTTGTAATAGTCTTTTTTTTTTTCTTTTTTCTTTTTTTAAGTAGGCTCCACATCCAGCTTGGAACCCAACATGGGGCTTGAACTTATGTCTCTGAGAGCAAGACCTGAACTGAGATCCAGAGCCTGATGCTTCACTGACTCAGCCACCCATGTGCCCCTCCCTTGGTAATAGTCTTGTTCACACTTTGCCTCCAGGGTGCATCCTAGCACGGGGCACAGTGAAGACTGATTCAGATGGATAGAGAGGTCCCCCTGGTCCTGGAAATAACCATGTCACCAACAGAATCTCCTGCTGGAGCTTGGGAGTAGGCCCCAGTTGGCAAGGCAGGGTGTCTGGAAAAAATCAGTGGGCTTGGCAGCTACCATTGTGCCATGTCTCTTTGGGAATCCCTTGGAACTGCGTGCAAAAATGTTTGATGAGTGTTTGTGTGTTTTCTAGGGAGAGATTACATTACTTTTGTCTGATTATCAAAGAAGCCTGTGTTCTGACTAAAGGTCAAGAACTCAAGCTCGTGAACCTAGATAATCTTGGCCAAATGAAGCCTCTGGCCTTTTCCTTTCCCCTCTGCCCCTTGCTGAACAGTTCAGGAAGTCTTTCAAGGTAGAAAAATATGTAGTTTTTTCAGTGATTTTTTTTTAAAGATTTTATTTTATTTATTTGAGACAGAGAGAATGAGAGATAGAGAGCATGAGAGGGAGGAGGGTCAGAGGGAGAAGCAGACTCCCTGCCGAGCAGGGAGCCCGATGCGGGACTCGATCCAGGGACTCCAGGATCATGACCTGAGCCGAAGGCAGTCGCTTAACCAACTGAGCCACCCAGGCGCCCTTTTTCAGTGATTTTTGAACTTTTCACCCTAGGATCCCCAGGCTGGGTTCCTGACAAAAACAAGTAATGATGTTCTTCCCATGTACAGCAAAAAGTTAATTGATGAGATTTTATTATTTTAAAAAAGTTACTATTTTTGAGAAGGCTCTATGTACATAAGGCAAAACATTAAAGTGGTATAAGAGGAAAGTACTTTTATACTATGAAGAATGATATTTCCTGTAGGTTTTTTGGTAGCTACTTTTATCACGTTAAGAAAATTCCCTATTAGTACTTTAAGACTTTTTTTATGTCATAAATGGGAATTGAATATTATCAAATGCTTTTTCTTAAAGTATTTTGATGATAGGGCTTTTCTTAATTGGTTAATGTGATAACTGACATTTCTATTTTTCTTGTTAACCACCTTGAGTTCCAGAGTCAAATCCAACATGGCCAGGGTGTATTATCACAGCTGTATTAGGTTTGCCAGGCGAGGGTCAGGCAAAACACACTAGGAGGTCAACGCTAAGGATAACTTCTTTTTGACCCATGAACTGGCCCAGGCAATTGGAGGGTACTCACCCTCTCCTCATCCTTGGAACGTGTGTTTTGCTGCCTTCTCCATCCCAGAAATTGTCCCACAGGCACAGCTTCGACATAGTGATGTGGTATTGAGACTATCTGGGTAGTACATGTGACTGAGCCGAGTTAAGGCCTCTCTATAAACTTTTAAGATGTGGCAGTTGGATGTGGAGATCTACCTGTCTTGCAGCTGCCCAAGACAAGACTTGTGAGTAAATTCCCTTTGCTTATTAAAACTGCTGATCTGGGGTGGTATTCTATTACTTGGATCTCTTCCTGCCTTCTGCATATAGGAACTAGTTTCAGATTACACCTGAGTAGGTTGTGAACTCAAGCTTCCTTGAATGTTATTTGAGATTCAACTTGACCAATATCTAAGGAAACAGAGAAAGCAGATAAGCTGTTCCCTGTTGAAGAGAATGCATAGTTACTTTTCCTTGGCTGTACTATAATTGTCTGTTAGTTTTCAGTAGCTACAGCTGAATGATGTCTGGGTCTTAGTTATATTTTTACCTCAGGCATTTAGAGTTTGGAAAGTACATGATGAACATAGTACAGGAAGGAGTAGATGAGAGCCACGGGGTGTGGGGGGTATTCTTCCAACACACAGTGTCTTCCTTCACACCTTCTGTACAACTCTGAGGATGTGAGTCTCCTCGTGTCAGGTGTTCCTTCTGGGGAAGGATGGGGAGCAAAGTTCATGCCTCTATTACTTCCCCTTGCAGACAGGGCCGTCTGTATTGGTCTGGTGCCAGCTGCATTTTAGTCCCCAGCAATGACTAGCCTGTCATTGTTGGGATAGATTCCAACCAGCTGGAGCAGGCCCTGAGGTGAATAGGGCAGGTGGATGCTCACATTAGGCTTAGTTATGAGTCATCGTAGCCAAGCATGAGATTTGGAGAAGTATGAAAGCATATTAGTTTCCACAGGGACTGGTTTCTAAGTAAAATAAGAAAGGCTTTGTGTTTAGGTGAGAGAATTAGATTGTCCAGATTATCAGATGACAGGAATCTTCCTTGTTTGTGTGTATTCTGTGTATCTCTCTGCTGGGGAACATAGGGAGGGAGATCCTACCTAACAATACCCCCTTTTTAAAAAAGATTTTATTTATTTAATTGACACAGAGAGAGAGAGACAGCGAGAGAGGGAACACAGCAGGGGGAGTGGGAGAGGGAGAAGCAGGCTTCCTGCGGAGCAGGGAGCCCGATGCGGGGCTAGATCCCAGGACCCCGAGACCATTAGGCAGGCACCTAATGACTGAGCCACCCAGGTGCCCCCCCTAACAATACCCTTACTAGCATCTTGACCAGTATCTGTCTTCCCTGCTGAGATGAGGTGGAGTCTTTGTTCTGGAAGACCCACAAGGAAGCTGCTGTGTAGGTCACCATGGAGTTAGGAACAGAATTTTAACCAATTTGTTGTTGCAGCCTGGATCTCACTATTTCCTATAGTGACCCTTATCAGGGAACGGCAAGCATTGAATACTGATGTTGCAGAGCACAGACTTTCAGTCTCTCTTCATGTTCACTTATTTAAAATATGTTCTTGTGATCAATGGCTGTTGGAAAGCCCAGTGCAGTCACTGAGTCTCAGTTTCTACATCTGTAAACAGGGATAATAGCATGAACGGTGTCCAGTGAAGGCACCAAAAGGGGGCAGAAATATTTCAGAGTTCCTGGGTCTTTTTCCCCTATTACCTGGGGATCATCTTCCAGCTTCCTATGTCTGTCCATTGTTGCTATCCAAGATTGCAGCCACTTCTTTCTTAATTATCTCTTTGCAGGGCTCCATTGTTCCAGAGATTCCAGTGGTAGCCACATAATCCACAGCTTTAGGGTATGCAGACACAGAACATGGGTCAGAATGATGATAATGAGCAGTGTAATTTCCAGACAGTATGTGCTTAGATCTCTCCCAGCAGGTATATGACCGGATCACCAACGATCCACCCAGAATAGACACACAGGAAGGCCAGCAATTTCACCACTACCAGCTCAACTCCACCAACCTTTCTGGATGCCCCCTGAGCATATAGTGCTTTGTGAGGGACTAGGTTCATAATGTTGATGAGTACACAGACTGTGCCCTTGAGAAGCTCTCTATCTGTAAGGCAAATAGGTGTGTAGGCCAACTATGGGACTGGAGCGTAGAAAGGATGATAATAGAACTGGGGCTGGGGGGACAGAAATTTCCCAGAGGATGAAGTGGTTATATTTGATCAAGGAGGTTGAGGAGGAAAGACTCTAACAGAGGAGATTCTGTTGGAGCTGGGTTTGAAGGATGAGTAGGATCCTTGTAGGCGGCACAGGGGTATTTCTAGGCAGAGGAAACTACATGGGTAAAGATGTGCAGACCTAGCTTGTTTGAAGGATTTCAAGTATTTAGGGTACAGGGAGCCATGGTGACCAGGACAGGTTAGAGATTTAAGGAGATGGTTTTACATGAGTTTCTCTAACTTTTGAGATTACTGATAACACTGAGTTGTTTATTGATTTCCCACAGAGTATGAACTCATTGGAGGTCAAACTGGGAGTATGCAGGATGCCTTGCCAGCACACATGACTGGGGGCCACCTGCGGGTGGAGCTCCGGGGGCGGGGGGGGCCTGCTACTGGCTGTAGCTCCAGCCCCGCCCCCTTTTCAGTATATACATTCCAGGCTCACTGAATCACCACTGGTGGGAAGGGAAGCTCCGCACACACAGGCAAGCAAAGACTAGCACACACTGCTGAACGACAGTAGAGAGAATTCATAGAGGAAAAGTGGCCATGGACCTGATCCCAAGCTTTTCCATGGAAACCTGGCTTCTCCTGGCTATCAGCCTGGTGTTCCTCTACCTGTGAGTAACCGTCCAGGCTCATTGCCTCTGGAACCCTGGACTTGGGTTGCTAATCAGCATCCACCCCCTTTTCCTTGTCTGTTTTGAGGATCAAAAAAGTTAACAAAGGGGAAGCTGCTTAAGTGTTGGGTGCTTCAAATATGCTAGGAACACATAAAGGGTTATTATTGACCTCACCAGATCTGCTGATCTACTGAAGCCCCCACACCCCAACTCCAATTTCTGTAGCTAGGAGGTAGAGTGACATTATTTGCTCCTAGGGATGATCTGATTGACTACCAGCTGGGACCTAGACTAATCAAGCAGAATTCAGCAGAGGCAGAGTAAAATCAACAGGCCCCGGTGCTCTGGGGTCCTCACCCTCTTCCAAGCTGTGGGGATTCTGGAGGCAGAGGGAGTAGCTTGGGTTTTTATCTCATTATCTTGACCTCCCTGGTCTGTGTCCGCTGCAGGAGACATGTAGACGTCACTCAGGTGGTCCTGTTCCCCTCCCTCCACTGCCAGGCACCATGGACACAAGGCACCTGGTGCACCCAGACTTCCAGGGGAGCTGGAGATACCTCATCTTCCTCTTCTGACTGGGCTCTTCCCTCTTTTCTGTGCCCCTCTCCTAGCCATCCCTGACCCTGTAATATGCAGAGCTCTTGAACTCTAAATGAGCATCATTAGAGCTGAGGAGACTTCGCAGATTTCTTAAAATTTTATTCATATCACCTTTTCCTTCCAGTCTCTGGGAGGGTTAGTATCAGTATAGAG